CAGCGCCTTGTGAAGGACTTCGTGGGGGCCCGGTTGGAGGCCGAGGAGACCCTTCGAAAGCAGCGGGTGGCGGCCCTGCTGGATAAAGTCGTGGATAGCCCAGAAGCCACCCTGGACGCATCCCATTGGAAATCTCTCCCGCATTACGAAACGATCTCGGGAAGACAAGGGCAGGACCAAGGTCTTCTTGAGCATCACCAGCGGCCGGACAACTCTTCCGGCTCCGAAAAGCACGCACTGCGATCGGGGCCCGCGGAGGGCTCTTCTCCGGCAAGTGACGCTCGCCATCATGTGGCTTCCAGCGCGGTTACTCCTAGCCCATCTGCGGGAGATGAAACGCCGCGTAGCGGTGCCGCTGCTCGCGATTTGTGCAACGAAGGAGCGCCTCGAACAGATGGCGAACAGCGGTTGTTCGGGGCAGCTCCCGTTGCTCTTACCGCTCTTCGGCAACGAGAGCAGGCGCTCGCGTCGCCGGTCGCCGTCCTCGACGACAGGATGGCCCGAGCCAGGCCGACGGGCCTGTTGGCAACCGTGCAACCAGCGTCTGTATCTGTCTCCACCCTTGTATCCCATAGCGCTCCTGTACCACCTGTGGATCCAACGTGTTTCGACCGTGGCAGTGATAAAGATGTCGTCCACGATAATGCGACCCGAGCGGTTGCCTTCGGCGCCGAACTCAAAGGCAACGCGGCGGCGGCTTCAAACGCGGCTGCCGTGGCGGCTACTCACGGGCGATACCGGTACGGCCAACGGCGTAGACGAATGTCTGTGCCACTTCTCGCGTCTCTCGCTGGAGGTGACGAGGATGCAGGAGCTATGGGTTCGGGGGCGCGTGCTAGGGAGATGAGAAGGCCGTGGACCACCCCGCATGGCGAAGGGGAAGCAGAAGTGATCATGCGGGAGGAAGGAGAGGAGAAGAGTAGCGGAGGGGGCGTCGCCGTCCGACCGTTCAGGTGGGGTGGCGATAGTATCGGTCAAAGAATCCACTTGCTGCCAAGCTAAGTGGGGTGGCGATAGTATCGGTCAAAGAATCCACTTGCTGCCAAGCTAAGTGGGGTGGCGATAGTATCGGTCGAAGAATCCGCTTGCCGCTAAAGCTAGGCTGGTAATTCTGCGTTGGGAACATTCTGGGGACAGGAACAAATAGAATACGGCAAAGTGCACCATGCCTTCCGGAGTGGCCACGGGGCCGAGAGATTTGATCAATACGAAAATATCACAAGTGTGAACGAGGAGGAAACTCTCAGTGCAGCGGGGTCTACCGTGGGGTCTATCGCAGTGTCGTTAGCCTTACGCCTTCCATGCTTTCCGCTCTCCCCGACCGCCCGTCCTCCCGTCAGATATTCCGTTCGGCGCCTCGATCTCAATCATTGTAACGAACTTCGCTTGAGCGATCTACGCATCCAGCACACATCGCTGCTGGGTATCACATCGGTAGCACCAGAAGGCGCACCAGAGGATGTGGGACACGCAGGTAATTCCTCCACCGTTAGCCGTGCCGAGACGTCGAAGGCAATTCGACGGAGAGCAAGCACGCCCTACAGTACGCCAGCACACGCCAGTTTTGCACCTAGGGATTGCGGGGCGGCCAGCCGCAGCCGACTGAGGGTTCAGAGCGCCCCGACGGGCCACCTGGGTGATGCCGCAACCGGCGAAGAAGCTGATTGGCGGCCGAAGGGATACAAGCCACCGGTACGTGGCAACGTTTTCCGGTTCGGGCTCGAGCAGGCTGTCGTTCCCCGCGTCTCCTCCTCGTCGTCTACGAACTCGTCTCCGTGGCCGTCCGCATCGCATCAGCTGTCCCTTGGGACAGGCACTCCCGCACCTCACGTGTCGCGGACGTCTGCGTTGTCATCGCCGTTAGGAGCGGGATCGAGATCGGGGCTGGAGGCAGTGCGGGCGGAGCGTGAAGCTGTCGAGGCAGAGACCCGGCAGGCCATGGCTAGGACCGAACCGAACTTATTCCCGGAGATAATCGTTCCTAGTCCTCCCGCCGGAGACGCTGGGTTTGGAAATGCGATGAGGGGGAGAAGGGGGTGGGTTGCGGGGGCATGATACGTGCCGTATTGGGTTGTCGCCCTTGAGGCTGATTCATAATCGTGTTGGGGATGACCCTGGTAGAACCTTGTCAGTGACAAAGTTCCCCCATATTGTTAGAGAGGGAAGCGTATGGGGAAAAACCTTTCACGGATAGGTTTGGCGCCGCCCTGTCGAAAAGGAAGCGACGACGACATGCACAAGGATATGGTCATCGACGCCGTACAACGAGCACTGTTGCTAAGCTGCCAAACAGGATATGGCGTTCGTCGGCGGTGACCGAGCTTCTCAAGCCACTCCAAAGTCCATAATTCAGACCCTCGATACTGTTCGAAGATATTCCGATGAGTGGGCCCGCATGACGTACAACTAGCTGTTGTTGTCGCGCACCTGGAAAGACGCTATCCCCGTGGAGAATACCATACCCGAGTCTGCGCCTAAAGGTGTAAACAGTGCACACAAGGGAGTGCTTACGTGGCAGGGGTTTACCTCTACGCGCACTTTGAATGATCAGCAATATGCAGTCATGCGCCCTCCGTGCTTGTTCCCCGATGGAAAATTCTCGGCTTTCTCCGGTGGCGTTGGGTTGCCTGACGGCTGTACGTGCATGAGTTGACGTGAACCCTATTGGTGAAATCGCGTACAAGACAGGACAGGACAAGCGAAACGATAAGAGAAGCGCGCATGGCACTGCGCTCACACAGATTATCAGAAACAAGCAGCAATATGAAGCAGGGGGGTTGTAGTGGGAAGTCCATGATAATAGTGATAGTCTGAAATACCTCTTCCCTCCATCCGGCATCTCGCCCTACCCTAACATAGATGAACACTTGATGATCGTTGCTCTCTTCCGATCTCCCTGTAGGCCGACTCAACTCCGGTGTGGACTGTACCGCTGTGCACGTCACGCATGGTTAACGAAACTTGTTCCATCCCGTCACATCCGTTCATCGCGATTGATGATCAGCAAAGAATGATGAAATGGACGATTGAAAGTCACAACGACGTGCCCATCAAACAACCCTTTCAAGCCCTGCCACTTTCTGTTATATAAAATTGCCTGCCCGGAGAGCGATCGGCCCGCCTGATCGCTGTTGTTGTCTTCACATTAAAAAACCTTTTGATCTCTGTCCCGTGGCCTAGAAAATGCGTACTGAACTAGTCTACCCGAAGCTCAAGCGTCCCTCGTCCCTGGCTATCCAAACGTGATGAACTACAAAATATCATATTTAGAAATTACAACATCCACAATAGCAACAGAAGAAAGAGCAACGACAAGGCAACATAACAACCGCCAGGAGTCGTTGTAGGCGACACGTCCTACACGGGAGACGGATGCTCTCCACAATGAGAGACCCGCAAAAGGCAAGGACCCAGAAGTGGTCGAAGGAATAACAACCAATGCTCACGCAAAACCAAGAAAAGATATACGCCCACCGAAACTCGGCGTCGTAAAGGAACATGTTCGCACAAACGGTAAGATGGGTACCTGGTAGAGCCCATTGCTCCCGCTCGGCACCCATCCGCAGCCAACGCGACTGTTCAATAATCGCAAGATACAAGGATCACGACGACTTTCGTCCTGTACTGGGTGTCTTCGCCACCAGGCACGGCCCCATTTCCTAAACCATGCCTACAAATGTCGGGGGGCTCAAGATCACGATAAAGGCGACTTCGGTATGCCGCATTCCAAATACGACCAAGACCGCGCGTATTCCCGACTACTGTACCACGCCGATTCTCCAATGCCAGGTTCTCGCCGGCCAGGATCACCCCGACTGCACGCAGCCAAGTGGGCATCCACGTAGAAACGACGTGGAATACAAACATGCATAACAACACCGAGCATGGTGAAGTGGGCATGTAAGTGATGGGACAGAAACAACACTGGGAGATAGGTGACGGTGACAGGTATTGGTACTGTGCCGCCTGTCTATGTCCTGTCTTCGGCTGTACTTGCATACATACAACTGCATAGATTGTGCCTCTCAGCGCGAATTTCTCTGTGCATACCGCCCCCCCGTATTGTTCCATTCAAGAGACTTGGCCACACCCTTCCCTATGTACACAAACAAGTTAGAAACGGAAAAAACTGATTCTACATGGGATGCGAGCGAGCCACGCTCTACCACACTCGGGAGCCAACTAGGGAACCAATTATTCCACGGTTTGTATTAGACTGCGCTGTCCAAATACGAATACACGACTACATTGATATTGTATGCTATTCCTACCATCCCCTCCATCATCTTCAGCCCGGCAAATACCTCGCTGTACGAATTTCGCCTCGCGTTTTGAACCCATGCATCATTGACGACAATTCTGGCTACACTTTCACCGTGGCCGCGTTCAACGTTTTGTGTAGTGCATGTTGCAAATTTTTGTTTTACTCCGTTCCGGCGAAGCTACCATTCATACTTACTCCTTTTTCTCTCCGACTAGGTTAAGACTGCGAACAAACGTCAATCGTACATGTCACCCGATACCGCTACGTACCCCATTACACTTCACTAGTCACGCTGACATCTCCTAACTACTATCCATCCCGTGCACAAACCCGCTCTCTTGCACATGAACACTATTTATTGAAACTGGCGTACATATAGCTGGCCCTCGCGGTCGTGCACAAATCAAATAATAGGGATGTCCCACACCCTTGCGTCTGTGCTTCTCGCTCGAATGTATGCTAGCCCGGCCGAAGAAGTCGAGTGCCCCAGCGCTTGAAGTCACCGATTGACCAGCTCGTCTCGAAGCAGAGTTCACCCTCTCAGACCCTCCGTGTCCTACAAAATGAGGGTCTGGGACTAGCTGAGTCGCGTTTTGTCTCCGGAAGCAGTCTGGAAGGCCCCACCCCTCGACCGGCGAAGTGAGTCCTGCTTCACGGCCGAAGCCGAAAGGCCAAGGGTGATACGCTGGCCCTAACATTGGCGCGCTACTCGTACTTCAAAAGCTGTCACTGTAGGCTACTCGAGCTCTGAAAGGTCCCTCAAAGGACCGATCTGGCCGCAGTCTTTAATACCGTATTGCACCAGCCCAGGGCAAAGGATTTTATCGAGTATTTGATGGGAGTTGGTTGGGCCGTTTTCACATTGGATGTCGTTGTAGAGGGGCTGATCTTGAGATCCGGGTCCAAGTTCTAGAAGGTCAAAGAGCTCTCCAATTTTCATGGGTCCTTGCGGTGGGTCCACCACCACCTCGCCAATGTCGTGGTCAAACGTGGTCTGCATGTAGCACTTGCTTCCGACCGAGTAGCTGTCAGACCAACTTGCGCCACCTGGAACAACACCTTCGACGTCGATGATCCGGACGATGTCCTCACTAAGCGCTCCTTCTATTGTCACATCACTTGGTGTTGTCTCCGTTTCACTTCGTGCAACAGTCGGAGATGGCGTGAGAGAAACACGGGTCGGAAACACGGATCAGTCCAACACGCGATGTCAAGAATCTGGCGGGCTCATGCATACTATTCCGTAATTTTTGACTCTACAAACGCATAGGATGACGAGAGCGACTGCGTCTTTGCAATAGAATCACCGAGACATGTCCCTTTCTCGTGCCGAGACCACAGCGACCGCTCGCGACATGGAGGGGAAGCGACCATGATACTTCTTTGTAGTGGTCTTACCCGTCCGTGTGGTTGCCTTGATCGTTGTCGGTTCCGCCGTCGACTGGCGTGGGAGCTGTGTCGCCGTCTCTGCGACAGGATATCTAGAAGCAGAAGAACATTGCATGCAAAGGATAATACGAGGAATTGAGCATTCTGACGGTAATCGGAGCAGGACCCTACGGCAAGTATTCAGGCGGCCTACCCTCAGCTTGCCCCTTACCTCAAACCTGAGAATCGAACACAGCGATTTACGACCGAGGGCCTTCCATGTTCGACCTCTCATAGCAGAGCTGAGAGTGCGAACATACCCGCACGTGTCCTCTATGCATCCGATTCTATTGATGACCACCTGGAGTGTGTTAAGGGTTTCTAAACGATACAGCTCCATGTCATCATCGACTGAGACGAAACATCCATTCGCTGCCAGTGTCCGCCGCACAATCTTGAATGTTCCAAGTAGTTTGAAATCGACAGCACCTTCGAAAGAGAAACACAGAGACAAGTGCATCTCTCCTGCGAGACCACGACGACCAACAACATTTGCAGGGAAAAGCGACATGGCATTGATCTTACCCTTCGGTGCCGTTGTCTTGATAGTTGTTGGTTTCGCCGTCGACGGGCGTGGGGGCTGTGTCGCCATCTCTGCGAGAGGATGTCGAGAAGCAGACGAAGTTGGCATGGAAAGGAACGGACGATGGAGTGAGCATGCTGGTGGTCACCGGAGCACGGGTCGACTGCAGAGTTTGTATCAGCGTTCCCTTAGCTTCCCCCTCACTCTAACCTGAGAATCGAACACGGCGTCTATCGACCGAGGGCCTTCCATGTTCGAGCTTCATCAACGAAGCTGAGAGTACGAGCGCACTCGCGTCTTCTACGCGACAGATTCTACTGATGAGTACCTGAAGGTAAGGTAATGGTTTCGAAGTAGTACAGCCGATCTCATTCGGCACGTATACTGCATGTCATCATGGACTGAGACGAAACAATATATTCGCTGCCAGTGTCCGCCACACAATCGTTGATGTTCCAAGCGGCTTAAAATCGACAGCGCCTTGGAAAGAGAAACACCGCGAGAACTGGGCCGCTCTGGTGCCGACAGACGACGACCGCCCAGACTTTGGAGGGGGAGGAGACACTATCATTCTTGGCAGTGGACATACCCTTCGGTGCGGTTGTCTTGATCGTTGTTGGCTTCGCCGTCGACGGGCGTGGGGGCTGTGTCGCCGTCACTGCGAGAGGATGTCGAGAAGCAGACGAAGTTGGCACGGAGGGGAACGGACGATGGAGCGAGTTTATTGGTGGTCGCTGGAGCAGGGGTCTACTTTAACGCTGTGTCGACCTTCTCTCAGCCTCCCCACAACTTAAATTTGAGAATCGTACATGGTGTTTTACCACCGAAGGCCATCCACATCCCAGCTTCAACAGAAGCACGCGTCGCCTTTGTGTGAGAGATTCTCGTGATGTCCACCCCACGAGAGGATTCCAGGCGGTACGGCCGATTTCGTTCATGACATATGCTCGTGTTATCTTGAAATTGAACAATGCATAGATATTGCTTCCGTTTTGCTCCTGGATAGTGAGAGCAGACCATGAAACGTTTTACCGACAAGGTCAAAGAGCCTAACTTTGAACAGCGTGCCTCCGATTCTTGAGAAACTCAGGCGCATGCTTGTACCTCGTAGTGTAGGCCGCGCCGATGCGGTATACATCGAAAGCACTCAAACCACCGCACGATTCGTCCTATGAAGTGGAGGAAGATAGGCGGAGGGCAGAGACACGCACAGAGAAACCGAGAGAGGGAGACGCAGACGAGACCAGAGAGATGGAGAACAAGGCTGCGAAGTTTGCTGACGCAAAAAGCAAACACCTGGAGGGCGTGGTGTTTCGAGGGCTGGGAGACCGAACATGGGTGGCTTTGGAATCAGTGCAAGAGGTTGGATTTCCCTCACAAGAGTTTACGTGAATACAGGCAGGCCGGCTGGTGTGGAAGTTGAACTTTGGTGGGGTCTACTGTCATGTTCGTAAAACGGGAAAGCAACGACAGATTACCGACAGCAAGGGCAAGCAGAAGCAGGCTTTACGTGCCCTTCAGGTCAACATTCGGGAAGAGATTTCGAGGTTGTCGTTTCTTGGACGTAGTTTGCGGCACTACGCGCTACCACACGCGTCTCATGTGGTCGTAAAACGCAGCAGACAAGGGTCGTGTTTGCTACGTGTTGTACGTCATAATGTGGACATCGTACACGGGCGACGAGCTCCTGACCGTGATTTTCTTCCGAGCCTTTCGTACCTCATCGCCGGCGCAATCGTAGTTGCACAGCGCTCCCTCTCCGTGGCAGGCATAGTCGACCTGATCCTTGGGCTCGGATGTGCACCAGCACTCAATCGCGTACTGGGTAGCCGTTAATGTGGCGTCCTTCGTAATGCAGTAGTCGTAGCAGAGATACACGAACGCGCGACAAATACACCATCAGCGTAAGGCCGATGGGTGACAGCGTGAACTTAGCCAAGAAGCGACACGATACGCGGAGGTAGCACCAAGGGCGAGCAGAACATTTCGATGGAGAAGACCCCGAGCAGCACAGACTCGTGGTGCGAGGCTGCACATCAAACTCGTACTCCTAAGTCGAATTCCAGGGCCCGATTCAATGACCTATGCCGCTAGAACGAGCCCGGAGTCAGTGGAGCGGGCACCAAAACAGGTCGCTTTTCGAAATGACTATCAATAACACAAGACTCTTGTGTTGAACATGAATTCTGTATCGCCAAGACACTACATATTGCATCGTGGAATTCGGATTCCAAAGTTTTCTACATAGGACCCAGGCATAGACCCGCGTCGTTAGGGCGAAAGCAGGGAATGATTGAATCGGGGGAAGGGATACGATTGTTGACGATGTTGGCTGATGCATACGTGTCTTGACCAACAAAGCTTGATCAGCATTTCATTCTCAATAATAGTTCGGCCAAACACGACCATTTCATTCATGATCTGAAGGGAAAAGAGCGGTGTTAGGGTAGATATGGCCCAATGTTATATCCGGATCACGCTGCACAGCAGCCAGGTGTGGGGGGGGGTGTACTCATAGTCGTGCATGCCGTAGTCGTTAGACCATTGACCTCGCATCCCTACAAAGCCGG